GATACAACTTCAAATTCTGGGCAAAATATAAAACAACCATCTGAAGGCACAGGAAAGTGACCAAAGTCAGGCAGATTCTGGAGGGATGTCTTCTACAAGAGGAAGAAGGGAACAGCATTGGGTAAATTTCCTGGTCTCTCTCTCTTTTTAAAATGCCTTTTAGCTGGAAGGCAGGCCTACTATGTGCCAAGTTGGATGATAAAGGTAAAACAGAATATCCTTCATCTTTCTAGCTTGAAGAACCAGAAAACAAAAGTTTGGGGCAACTCAGCTGCTCTAAAATGAGGAGGGAATTCTAGAGACAGCCAGAAAAGGGGCACTCTGAGTTCTGCGGATAATCTCTGCCAGATCTCTGGCTGACCTCTGAACAACACATGTGTAGGACAGACCCAAGCAGTCCTACTAAGGCCAAAAAAACCTAACTGAAATTTGAGCTGCTGCCCAAGAGACAGAGCATGCTATCTGAGTACAAACCATTTAAATTCCTGCTAAAACAAAAGCATCAGCACTGTCAAAATGCAGTCTCCACAACCTAACAGTTGCAATGTTAAGATCTAAATTTACTCAGATTTAAATTATCAATTTAAAGTTACTCAACCTTTGAAGAAACAGGAAAATGTGACCCATCCTTAAAAGAAAAGACAATCAACAGAGACAAACTCTGAGGTGACTCAGATTTTGGAATTAGCAGACAAGGTAAAGCAGAGATTTTAACTATTCTCAGTGGTATAAAGGAAAATGTGCTTATAATGAATACACAAATAGCAGAGAAATAAAAACTATAATAACCAAATGGAAATCTAGAAGTGAAAAATCTGACTATTAAATTTTACACAAGAAAAACAAAAAAGTATGTCCACACAAAAGCCAATGTTCAAATGTTTGTAGCAGCTTCATTTATAATGTCTCCAAAGTGGAAATAACTCACATGCCCATCAACTGGAGGATGAATATATCCATACAATTAAATATTACCCAACAATAAAGAGGAACTACTGATACATTAAAAAGAAAACAGTCTGGCAATTCCTCATAAATTAAATATGACCAGTGGATGGATAGATGGACAGGTATGTGATTAAGATAAGTATAGTGATATGCTAATGGCAGAAATTAGGTGATGGGTATACTGGTGTTCATTGTAAAATTTTTTCTAGTTACCTATGCTCAAACACTTTCATAATAAAACAGAAAAAAAATATAGTCTCTAGGGTTGGTGACCAATTTTGAATATGCTGATTTGGGGATCATAAACTGAGAGGTTACATAAAAGAAAACACACAGGTTATAATCAGTCTACTAATCTTCTGAGATCTTCCTCCAATTTGCCTTACTAGCGTGGTACTCTAGCACTCAGAAAAACTTTGCTATCTGCAAACTCGAGATTTTACTTTGCGCTTCCTTTCCAGTATAATGTTTACTGTTTGTTCCCCTGTACTCCTTTTTTTTAAATTTAATTTTATTATTTTTAAAATATTTATTTACTTATTTGGCTGCATCGGGTCTTAGTTGTGGCATGCAGGATCTTTCGTTGCAGCATGTGAGCTCTTCGTTGCAGCATGTGGGATCTAGTTTCCTGACCAGGGATTGAACCTGGGCCCCCTGCATTGCGAGTATGGAGTCTTAGCCACTGGACCACCAGGGAAGTCCCTCCCTGCGCTCCTTTTATAAATTTATTTATTTTATTTATTTTTGGCTGTGTTGGGTATTTGTTGCTGCACACAGGCTTTCTCTAGTTGCGGTGAGCGGGGGCTACTCTTCGTCGCAGTGCACGGGCTTCTCATTGCGGTGGCTTCTTCTCGTTGTGGAGCATGGGCTCTAGGCGCATGGGCTTCAGTAGTTGCGGCACGCAGGCTCAGTAGTTGTGGCGCACGGGCTTAGTTGCTCCGCAGCATGTGGGACCTTCCCGGACCAGGGATCGAACTTGTGTCCCCTGCACTGGCAGGCGGATTCTCAACCACTGTGCCACCAGGGAAGCCCCCTGCGCTCCTTTTAAAACATAAATTCCATGAGGCCAGAGATCTCTGTTTTGTTCACTGAGGTATTCCACGCACCTAGAACAATGCTTGCCACATAATCAAGGTATAGTGAATTATTTATTGAATAAATTTTATTCTCACAATAATGGCCATGTGAGTGAGGCAGATGTTACATATTCTCATCCCTATTTTACAGATGGGGACTGCAGGGAGGGGTAGTAAAGACTAAGTTTTTTATCCAAGATCATCACACCATCGCCGAGTTGCAGAGATGAAACTCAAACTAGTATCTCTGAATTCCCCAGATACCAGAGCAGTAAATAATTTAACAAACCATTTCAAAAAATAACCCCCCACAATATATTGCTAAAAAAATTTCTTTTAATATTAGATATTAACATTTACTCACTATATCCTTATAAAAAGGTCCTAGCTGGTGACTTTTCATTTAAAACTTTTCAGTCTATATTTTCTGAGTGTTGGGCAAGTTGACCTGTACTAGGCCCTTGACAGAGCAGAAGAATCTAACTTTAAGGGTGGCTTTAATACAAAAGTAATTCTATTATGTCTAAATCATATTCTCTGAGTTTCTAAGACCTTTTATTATGGAGATAAGGCATTACTTTTCTTTCTTTCCTGAATGTGATTCAGTTCCCTCTTTATATTAAGTTCAGGAAAAGGTTTAAGACAGAAGATTATATTTTCAGCTGAGAGGTGGTAAACCTTTAAGAAGCAAACTTGCACATGGAAAGGTTCTATGATGGCTAATTTTTTATGTCAACTTGGCTAGGCTACGGTACCCAAATATTTAGTCAAACATTATTTTACATGTTTCTGTGAAGGCATTTTTTAGATGAGATTAACGTTTAAATCAGCAGACTCTGAGTAAAGCAGTTTACCTTCCATAACGTGGTGGGCCTCATCCAATCAGCTGAGGCCTCACTAGAACTAAGACTGACCTCCCCTGAGCAAGAAGGAATTCTGTCAGCAGACTGCCTTTGGATTCAAACTGCAACCCTCCCTTGAATCTCCAAGCCTGCCAGCCTACCCCATTAGAGTTTGGATTCGCCAAGCTTCCACAATCACAAGAGCCAATTCCCTAAAATACACGTCTCTCCATATATATTTACATATCCTGTTAGCTTTGTTTCTCTGGAGAACCCTAACACAAGTTCACAAACAAAACTGCTTCTGTGTTCAAGAGGTATTCATGCACTAAAAACACTCAGGAACTCTATGAGTGAAACCAGTGTTAATTTTCTATGCTTTCATGTCAATAAAATACTAAAGGTATTAGTAAGGTTGAAACAAACTAAAATCTGGGATACAATGCCATTACTGACCCTTGAGAGTAGAAAGACTTGCTTTACCACACAGTAAAAATATGTCACATACTAATGATAATTTTAGAGATCCAAGCCTTCTTTTTTTTTGGTCCAAAGAATCCTTTGTTCAGGAGAAAGTACTCTTAGAATCCCCAAATGTCAAAAGTGATTAAAATAGAGGTGGTTTGGGCTTCCCTGGTGGCGCAGTGGTTGAGAGTCCACCTGCCGATGCAGGGGACGTGGGTTTGTGCCCCGGTCCAGGAGGATCCCACATGCCGCGGAGCGGCTGGGCCCGTGAGCCATGGCCGCTGAGCCTGCGCGTCCGGAGCCTGTGCTCCGCAACGGGAAAGGGCCACAACAGTGAGAGGCCCGCGTACCGCAAAAAAAAAAAGAAAAAGAGGTTGTTTGATAGAAACATAGAAAGCTCCTCCAGTCCTCCCTCTAAAAAATAAGTCCCTGAGGGACGCTGACGTACCATAAGGTGCTGCAGAACTAAGCCTGAAAACTTATCTGCCTTGTCTCTAACGAACCCTGTGCCACACCGCCACCGCTGCTGCCACCACCATCGCCATCCTGGGCATTCTACAGAGACAATGGAGATTAAATGATTTGCCCGAGGCTGAAAAATTAGTTAGTAGCCAAACTGAGGTCTTCTTTGTCCTTTATTATTTTGACTTTAGATGCAAATTTTTTAAAAGTTAAGAGCTATTTTTCTAAATGTGCAAAGCAGTTTACCTGCACAATATGGCAGGTTAGCAGCAGAAAAAAACCACCATAATAGACCCCTGTGGTAGGGTTCACATCAACACATCGGCCTCTCTGGCATCGCTCCTGATGACTTACTTCAATGCTCCTATGAGCAGATGGAAGCTGAGTCTTCATTTGCTTGTAATACTGGCTCTATAATGACCGAAGTAGATTCCATCCAGCACTAACAGTGCAGCAAATCAGAGCATCAAAATATAAATTAAATCATAATTGTTTATTTCTGGATAACAGATCTTTGGTAAAAGTTGCCCTTGAAATAGGACACAAAATAGTTATTTATAGGCAACCTTGCTAAAAAATCACATTTTTACTTTGAAACAGAATTGTGAGCAATTCAATGAAGTAAATGGGACAAATAGTATTATTTTCTTCATTTGACAGAGCAGGAAACATTGAATGACTTGTTCAAGGTCACACAAAGAATGAGTGTCAAGATATCATCTAAGGTATAACTCCAACCTACTAGAATTTGAACTCTGGAAGGGTAGGCACTGTCTCTCTCGTTCTCACTGCTGCCAGCACCTAGCACAGCACCAGGCATCAGTGGAGTGGATGCTAATATTAGTGCATGTGCTCTGAACAGATATTAGGAGAGCTAACTGTATTGGATGAAGAGGCAAAATGACTTATAAATGGACAAGGGCTCCCTTTCTTATCACCAACAGGGCGGATCCGTAATGAAGAACTGAGAATGAAATGAGATACAACAACAAAACACTCAGCCGGGGATTACGGCCAATATCATGGATGTACCCTGCCAAGATAAGATGGCTATTTCCAGTCTCACCTCCTTCCCACTACTTATGAAGAATCACAGCAGTTAGCATCCCCAAGTTCCATTTTTCTTTTACTGATTTTTATATTCCCTATCACAAATCTTAAGGACCTCTTGGAGCTTCTTCACACCAGGGATCAAAATTATACAAACCTCGGTCAGTTGTTTCAGTTGACCCTTGTTTTCACTTAATTCTTCGGCCAGGTCTTTCTTTTTCACTTGTAGTTCAGAGATTTCCTTTCTTAATGGATTCACTAGTTCATGGAACCGAATCTTTGAAAAAAAAAATCAAATTAATAAGCAGTCTCGAGACCCAAATTACAATTAAAATTTGCTAATTAACAGCACTCTCAATTATCAGTACTACAAGGAAAAGTATTAAGATAATAAAGGAAAGTGTTAAGGAGTTTCAGATTATATGCCTGTACACTAAAGTTTTGTTTGTACAAAAATGATACAAGACAGTCTTTAATTGTCCCTGACCACTAATACTTCATTAAGTCTTAATGTTCAATTAAGTCCCCTCAAGGCCCAGATTATCTGTAACTCCCCACCTTGACACGGTCTCTCTTTCCTCTCTTCTATCAGTCCTCCATGTTCTCCTTACTCCTCACCTCCCACTACTGCTCACTCCACACTATCCGCTTGTTATTTCCTCAACACATCAAGTGTCCCAGAGTTTTGCTCTTGCTCTTTCCTCTGACGGAAAAGCTCTTCTCACATATAAATGTACAGCTCATGCTTTCACTCCCTTCTGGTCTCTGACCAGACGTCACCCTATCAGTAAAACCCTCCCTGACTTCCCTAACCAGATTCTTCTGGGGGCCGCGCCACCTGTGGGATCTTAGTTCCCCGACCAGCGATCGAACCTGGTCCCTTGGCAGTGAGAGCACGGAGTCCTAACCACTCGACCGCCAGGGAAGTCCCTCCCCTACGCTGATTTAAAATAGCATCCTCACTCTTCATTCCTGCTCTTTTCTCCACAGCATTTAGGACAAACGTTCTACATATTTTAATTTGTTGTGTGTGTTGCTCCATTGGAATGTAAGCTCTGTGAGGACAGGAATTTTTGTCTGGTTTGTGCACTGCTCTGTCTCCCATGCCTAAATATAGGAAAAGCCTACACCCCAGGCTCTTGGTGAAATCTTACTACCACCGCTGTGGAAGGGATAATCAGGATGAATCAGGAGGTATTTTCATGTCACTGTTCCATTCAGTTCGGACCTCTCTTCCCACTCATAATTCTCTCAGGGGAATTTGCCTGCCCTAACTTAGTAAAGTGTTCCAACTAACAAGCTCCTACAAAACTAAGCTAGCAGCAAATTAGGAGACGACAATTAGGGACTATTTATTGTGTAGGCATACAATCTGAAACTCCTTAATGTATTGCTGTATTGCAGGAGTATCATATTTGGTAAGAGGCAAGTCCTAAGGCTAGTACTTGACACAATGAACCTGTGTATAATTAACTAGTTAGGATGGTACTGTCTGAAAACAAAAGATAAGACAAGGAACATTAACAGATCAGAGAACAAAAATATGTATGCCTGCCACTAATGGGATACTTTCCATCTACAATGGATAAAGCCTCAATGACAGCACTTGAGATATTTAATTGGTTTTGGACAGTACTTTGGGCAGAACAATTATGTTCAAGCTATGTTAAATAAAAAGCTGGACAAAAAACAGTACTCCGTTTTGTAGGAAATCATTAATCTGGAAGCCTTATCCAAATGAGAACCAAGAGTAGCAACCACTACAGCAAAAAGAACTGATAATATTTATTATGTGTTGACTATGTTCTAAGCACTGTGTTAAGCATTTTACATACAAATTCATAGTTAATCTTCACAATTACCTCAACAGAAAGTTGCTGTTATTATTCTTTTTTAATTGAAGCATAGTGGATTTACAATGCTGTGTTAGTTTCCACTATACAGCAAGGTGATTCAGTTATACATATATTCTTTTTCAGATTCTTTTTCATCATAGATTATGACAAGCTATTGAATAAAAGGCACTGTTATTATTATTAACCCTTTTACAGATGAAAAAAATCAAGCTTCTTACGGTGAAATGACCTCTATATATCACAAACTTGCAGTTTGTGTGAGATGTGTGCTCTTGAGAGCCCTGGTCCCACCCTGCCACTCTGAGACCATTTCAGGAAATCAATGGGACCAAAACTATTTTCCTAGTAATACTAAGATTTTTTGCCTGTTCTACTCTTAATCTTATGCCCATTAAGTGTCTGCTGGTGGCTACATGATGTGTGATGATATCATTGCCCTTAAGGCTAATGAAGTGTGTACTTGTGTATTCCTGTATTGTAAAAATTTCTCAGTTTTAATTTCGAATATGGTAAATATTAACAGATATAGTTAGTCTATATAAGCAAAATCTCTTTGGGGTCTTCAATAATTTTTAGAGTGTAAATGGATGCTGATATCAGAAAGATTTGAGAACACTGCCATAGATCAATCCTACATACAGACTTGTGTAACCAACACTGCAGTTGAGATCCTGACCTAGATCCGTAACGATCGCCCTCATGCTGTCCCTTTATAATCACACCACTCCCCTCTTCTTTAATGTCCCTAACCCCTGGCAAACACTAATCTGTTATCTCTATAATTTTTCATTTGAGAACATTATAAACTGCCACAGTTTATGATAAAATAATTCATTTCTATGGATTATCCAGCCATTAACTTTAGAGCCCTATTTATTGCTTGAATTTGGAGGTCAATGGCCAAGACCCTTTAAAATTTGGTGATCTGAACACCATTCACTCACTACCTTCAGATCAGAGCCATAAAATAATTTATCAATTAGGTACTTCAAAAGTTATGGCAAAAAAAAAAAGTTATGGCTACTATAGAAATGGCAAATTTTAGTCTGGAAATATATGCATTTTTTTTTTTTTTTAATGATACAAGACACTTACAGACACATATTCAGGAATAGAAAGCTGATCTTCCGGAAGACCTTTTAGGTTCATATATTGGTCTTCTGTCAACTCAAAGTCACGCAGGCTTCGACGAATATCTCCAGCTTTCTCTCTTAGCTGAAGGTTTGTCTCTTCTAGTTGCTTCTGTCTCAATAAAATAGTTTCCATTTCTTGTTTCATTAGTTCTTGATATTTTCTACATTAGGAGAGAATGTATAGCAAGCTTAAAAAAATCACTGAGATCTAATTTTCTCAAAGTTCCTTTTTTATAGTAACATAAAATTAAGAAATGAGAAGCTTAATAGTATTTTTGGCTCCAGCTAAATGCTGACTTAACCAGTTAAACACGAAATGACAATGCTATACTAATTACTGAATGTGTAGCCACATAAATTATTAAATAGAAAATTAATGTTCTTAATAACGTTTAAAATTCAAATTATAAAATTATACATGTCTTCTCCTTAAGGTGTAAATCTTATATATCTGCTTTGGACCCTACTCATTAAAGTAATTTTCATTTGTCTTTATCCAGGTACTTCAAGGTATACCTCTTTAAGATGGCAACACTGAACCACCATAATGTATTCATTCAACCAATGAGGTAATGAAATCAGTAATCCACACATAATCAACCACCTTTCTCAAGGAATCCATGTAGTACACATTGTTAGTTGCCCACCCAAAAATTTTGAGCAGGAAGGCACCCTCTGATTTTTCCCCCTCCTACTGTATCACTCCCATCAACATACAAACATGCTGTTATTCGTCCTGTCTTAAAATAAATGAACAAACAAGCTCCCACAATTTTTGACCCTCTTTCACTGCCCCTTTTGTTTCTCAAAAGTTTTCTGTATGTGCTCTCTTCAATGCCTTTCCTCTTAAACCCAGGCCAATCAGGTCTGGTAACATTCAGATTGCTAATGATCAATTCTCAGTTCTTTCCATCCCTATCAATAGCACTTGAGACATCTGATCTCTCCCTCCTTATACACTTTCTTCATCTGGCTTCCCAGACACCATATTTTTTTCCTCTTCATTTTTATCCTATTTTCTTGGTGGCACTTTCTCGGTCTTATTATCTAGTTTGCCTTAGTGTTGGAGTACTCAGTCCCCTCCTCTGTCTGTGTTCACTCCCTTGGGGAATTCATCCAGTCTCGTGACTTAAATACCATCTATATCCTAATGACTCCAGATTTATATCTCTAGATCAGACTTCTCATATACTTCCACATGGATTTCTAATACGACAACTCTAACTTAACATGTTCCAAATTGAACTCCTGCTCTTCTCTCACAAACCTATTCCGCTATGGTTTCAGCATCTTTAGGTTTGAATTTTATTTATTTATTTTTTTTATACAGCAGGTTCTTATTAGTTATCTATTTTATACATATTAGTGTATGTATGTCAATCCCAATCTCCCAATTCATCCCACCACCACCCCCAACCATCTTTAGTTGACAGCAACTTCCTCCCTTCATTTATTCAGGCCAAAAATGTTGGTACAATCCTTGGTTCCTCTTTCTCTCCTAAACCCCACATCTAATCCATTAGGACATCCTATCAACTCTACCTTCAAAATATATTCAGAATCCAACCACTTTTTACCACTATCAGCTATCAAGAGAATTACTGCAATAGTCTCCTACTGCCCTCTCCACTTCATTTAATTTGATCAGTGCCTAAAGAAATAGAGTAGAAGTCCTATTATCCAATGCAGTGGTTTTCAAAGTGTTATCCCCAAACCAGTAGCAGCATTAGCATCATCTGGGAACTTGGTAAAAATGCAAATTCTCAGGGCTCAACTCAAATCAGAATCTGAGGGTGGGACCCAACAATCTTTTTTCAGCCCGGCAGGTGGTTCTGGTGCATGCTAAAATTTGAGAACCACTTATCTAATGAGATAGTAGCTGATAATTGGTCTGATAATTTTTTAAAATATCAGTTAAAGAGTAAGATCTTATAAAGGGAAAAGACACCTACTTTACACATTTACAGCTAATTAAAATATAGACATAAACATTCATTGGCAACATTTTTTACGTAGGGTACAGATTTTTTGTAATATGGAGATATGCTTTGTTTTTCTGTAAATCATTTTTCACGATTTCCAAATCTGATTTCTTTACAATGGCAGGAGACCTTTTGAAAAGACACTTGGGAAATCTGAGGATACTTTTTATGGATTTGATTTTTGCCCCTAATCTCTAAACACCTCTTGCTTACACTTAATTTGATGATTTTTAGTCACTCACTTTCATTGAATCTTTCCAAAGAATTCATTATAGTTTGCAAAGAAATGACATATGTTTTTGTACTCATTTTAAAATATAATTTTAATTAAGTGTAAGTATGATTATGTAAGTATAATAAGTATGATTGGCATAGGCATATTTGAGAGTAAACACAACAGACTCTGGATAAACATACAACTGAGCTGGAGGAAGTATGTAGGCAGACAAAAGGTACATTAACCCAGAAGAATTCAGTGGGCCATAAGAATATATCAGTATGTTCTACAGAGCAAATGAAAAATTTAATCCAGACAGCCAGTTAAGTGGTGGTGAGTTTAGAGAGCTTCCATTGTCATTTATGGTTCACTGACACTGGCAATATTTGTTGAATGAATGTTGAATTCTGGCTTTTTGAATTTTGTGTACGTATCAAGTAGTTTTGTTTGTCAGTCTGGATGTAAAAATTATTACCGTCTTTGATTTAAGATTTCTCTATTTTAGCTTACAATCACATGCATGAATATGTAATGACATTACTAACTGCTAGACAGGTATTGCTACTTATTTATTTATTTATATATTTGCGGTACGCGGTCCTCTCACTGTTGTGGCCTCTCCCGTTGCGGAGCACAGGCTCCGGACGAGCAGGCTCAGCAGCCACGGCTCACGGGCCTACCGCTCTGTGGCATGTGGGATTTTCCCGGACTGAGGCACGAACCCGTGTCCCCTGCGTCGGCAGGTGGACTCTCAACCACTGCGCCACCAGGGAAGCCCGGTATTGCTGCTTTTTAAAACTTTTACCTGGCATCCTTTTGTTGAAAAGTCAATTGGTTTTCTAATCTCAATGTTAGTAGCTGCTTCTGGTGAAGTGCATCATTAAGCTTCTCTTCCAATTCTTCAATCTTAAAAAAGAGAAAAAGATAAATTATACGGTCAGTTCGCAAATTTATCATTTAATAAAACCTTCTGTTTGTTCATAAAAATGGTTGTTAAACTATGCTTTGGGGCTTCCCTGGTGGCGCAGTGGTTGAAAGTCTGCCTGCCGATGCAGGGGACATGGGTTTGTGCCCCAGTCTGGGAAGATCCCACATGCCGCGGAGCAGCTGGGCCCGTGAGCCATGGCCGCTGAGCCTGCGCGTCCGGAGCCTGCGCTCCACAACGGGAGAGGCCTCAACAGTGAGAGGCCCGCGTACCGCAACAAACAAACAAACAAAAAACAAAAAAACTATGCTTTGAATCTGCTGCCTTATGAATGTTTTCTTGCCAGGCTGTCATTAAGATCATCTTTTCCCGTTAATCTAATCTAAGTGAAAAACCCTTTGACAATTGGAATTTTTATGCTGGTGCCTCGCCCAGCTAATTATTTCCTGGCCAGACCCTGAATATATACCTCAGATCCATCTATAATCTCTGCCTACTATACATCTTCAATTGACTACATGGGTGTTGCTATAAATGTCCAAAATGAACCTAGTCATTACCCTCACCTATCTTATATTCCTTACATCTCCCTGGTCTCCAAAGCAAAAAAATCTGAGTCACGCATATTTGATATATCTCCTCCATTGCTTATTCTTATCTGACATCATTTTTATTTTTATTTTTCTTTCCATCTTTATTGGAGAATAATTGCTTTACAATGGTGTGTTAGTTTCTGCTTTATAGCAAAGTGAATCAGTCATACATATACATATGTTCCCATATCTCTTCCCTCTTGCGTCTCCCTCCCTCCAACCCTCCCTATCCCACCCCTCCAGGTGGTCACAAAGCACCGAGCTGATCTCCCTGTGCTATGCGGCTGCTTCCCACTAGCTATCTATTTTACGTTTGGTAGTGTATATATGTCCATGCCACTCTCTCACTTTGTCACAGCTTACCCTTGCCTCTCCCCATACACTCAAGTCCATTCTCTAGTAGGTCTATGTCTTTACTCCTGCCTTACCCCTAGGTTCTTCTTGACATTTTTTAAAATTAAATTCCATAGATATGTGTTAGCATACGGTATTTGTCTTTCTCTTTCTGACTTACTCCACTCTGTATGACAGACTCTAGGTCCATCCACCTCATTACAAATAGCTCATTTTCGTTTCTTTTTATGGCTGAGTAATATTCCATTGTATATATATGCCACATCTTTATCCATTCATCCGATGATGGACACTTAGGTTGTTTCCATCTCCTGCCTATTGTAAATAGAGCTGCAATGAACATTTTGGTACATGACTCATTTTGAATTATGGTTTTCTCAGGGTATATGCCCAGTAGTGGGATTGCTGGGTCGTATGGTAGTTCTATTTGTAGTTTTTTAAGGAACCTCCATACTGTTCTCCACAGTGGCTGTACCAATTCACATTCCCATCCGCAGTGCAAGAGTGTTCCCTTTTCTCCACACCCTCTCCAGCATTTATTGTTTCTAGATTTTTTGATGATGGCCATTCTGACTGGTGTGAGATGATATCTCATTGTAGTTTTGATTTGCATTTCTCTAATGATTAATGATGTTAAGCATTCTTTCATGTGTTTGCTGGCAGTCTGTATATCTTCTTTGGAGAAATGTCTATTTAGGTCTTCTGCCCATTTTTGGATTGGGTTGTTTGTTTTTTTGTTATTGAGCTGCATGAGCTGCTTGTAAATTTTGGAAATTAATCCTTTGTCAGTTGCTTCATTTGCAAATATTTTCTCCCATTCTGAGGGTTCTCTTTTGGTCTTGTTTATGGTTTCTTTGCTGTGCAAAAGCTTTGCAGTTTCCTTAGGTCCCATTTATTTTTGTTTTTATTTCCATTTCTCTAGGAGGTGGATCAAAAAGTATCTTGCTGTGATTTATGTCATAGAGTGTTCTGCCTATGTTTTCCTCTAAGAGTTTGATAGTTTATGGCCTTACATTTAGATCTTTAATCCATTTTGACCTTAATTTTGAGTGATCTAATCTCATACTTTTACATGTACCTATCCAGTTTTCCCATCACCACTTATTGAAGAGGCTGTCCTTTCTCCACTGTACATTCCTGCCTCCTTTATCAAAGATAAGGTGACCATATGTGCGTGGGTTTATCTCTGGGTTTTCTATCCTGTTCCATTGATCGATCTTTCTGTTTTTGTGCCACTACCATACTGTCTTGATTACTGTAGCTTTGTAGTACAGTCTGAAGTCAGGGAGCCTGATTCCTCCAGCTCTGTTTTTCATTCTCAAGATTGCTTTGGCTATTCAGGGTCTTTTGTGTTTCCATACAAATTGTGAAATTTTTTGTTCTAGTTCTGTGAAAAATGCCAGTGGTAGTTTGATAGGGATTGCATTGAATCTGTAGATTGCTTTGGGTAGTAGAGTCATTTTCACAATGTTGATTCTTCCAATCCAAGAACATGATATATCTCTCCATCTATTTGTATCATCTTTCATCAGTGTCTTATAATTTTCTGCATACAGGTCTTTTGTCTCCTTAGGTAGGTTTATTCCTAGATATTTTATTCTTTTTGTTGCAATGGTAAATGGGAGTGTTTTCTTGATTTCACTTTCAGATTTTTCACCATTAGTGTACTGGAATGCAAGAGATTTCTGTGCATTAATTTTGTATCCTGCTACTTTACCAAATTCATTGATTAGCTGTAGTAGTTTTCTGGTAGCACCTTTAGGATTCTCTATGTATAGTATCATGTCATCTGCAAACAGTGACAGCTTTACTTCTTCTTTTCCAATTTGGATTCCTTTTATTTCCTTTTCTTCTCTGACTGCTGTGGCTAAAACTTCCAAAACTATGTTGAGTAAGAGTGGTGAGAGTGGGCAACCTTGTCTTGTTCATGATCTTAGTTGAAATGGTTTCAGTTTTTCACCATTGAGAACAATGTTGGCTGTGGGTTTCTCATATATGGCCTTTATTATGTTGAGGAAAGTTACCTCTATGCCTACTTTCTGTAGGGGGTTTATCATAAATGGGTGTTGAATTTTGTCGAAAGCTTTCTCTGCATCGATTGAGATGGCCATATTTTTTTTCTCCTTCAATTTGTTAATATGGTTTATCACATTGATTGATTTGCGTATATTGAAGAATCCTTGCATCCCTGGAATAAACCCCACTTGATCATGGTGTATGATCCTTTTAATGTGCTGTTGGATTCTGTTTGCTAGTATTTTGTTGAGGATTTTTGCATCTATGTTCATCAGTGATATTGGCCTGTAGTTTTCTTTCTTTGTGACATCCTTGTCTGGTTTTGGTATCAGGGTGATGGTGGCCTCGTAGAATGAGTTTGGGAGTGTTCCTCCCTCTGCTACATTTTGGAAGAGTTTGAGAAGGATAGGTGTTAGCTCTTCTCTAAATGTTTGATGGAATTTGCCTGTGAAGCTGTTTGGTCATGGGTTTTTGTCTGTTGGAAGATTTTTAATCACAGTTACAATTTCAGTGCTTGTGATTGGTGTGTTCATATTTTCTATTTCTTCCTGATTCATTCTTGGCAGGTTGTGCATTTCTAAGAATTTGTCCATTTCTTCTGGGTTGTCCATTTTATTGGCATAGAGTTGCTTGTAGTAATCTCTCATGATCTTTTTTATTTCTGCAGTGTCATTTGTTACTTCTCCTTTTTCATTTGTAATTCTATTGATTTGAGTCTTCTCCCTGTTTTTCTTGATGAGTCTGGCTAATGTTTTATCAATTTTGTTTATCTTCTCAAAGAACCAGCTTTTAGTTTTATTTAACTTTGCTGTTGTTTCCTTCATTTCTTTTTCATTTATTTCTGATCTGATCTTTATGATTTCTTTACTTCTGCTAACATTGGGGTTTTTTTGTTCCTCTTTCTCTAATTGCTTTAGGTGCAAGGTTAGGTTGTTTATTTGAGGTGTTTCCTGTTTCTTAAGGTAGGATTGTATTGCTATAAATTTCCCTCTTAGAACTGCTTTTGCTGCATCCCATAGGTTTTGGGTCGTCGTGTATCCATTGTCATTTGTTTCTAGGTAGCTTTTGATTTCCTCTTTGATTTCTTCAGTGATCACTTCGTTATTAAGTAGTGTATTGTTTAGCCTCCATGTGTTTGTATTTTTTACAGATCTTTTCCTGTAATTGATATCTAGTCTCATAGCGTTGTGGTCAGAAAAGCTACTTGATACAATTTCAATTTTCTTAAATTTACCAAGGCTTGATTTGTGACCCAAGATATGATCTATCCTGGAGAATGTTCCATGAGCACTTGAGAAAAATGTGTATTCTGTTGTTTTTGGGTGGAATGTCCTATAAATATCAATTAAGTCCATCTTGTTTAATGTATCATTTAAAGCTTGTGTTTCCTTATTTATTTTCAGTTTGGATGATCTGTCCATTGGTGAAAGTGGGGTGTTAAAGTCTCCTACTATGAATGTGTTACTGTTGATTTCCCCTTTTATGGCTGTTAGTATTTGCCTTATGTATTGAGGTACTCCTATGTTAGGTGCATAAATATTTACAATTGTTATGTCTTCTTCTTGGGTCGATCCCTTGATTATTATGTAGTGTCTTTCTTTGTCTCTTCTAATAGTCTTTATTTTAAAGTCTATTTTGTCTGATATGAGAATTGCTACTCCAGCTTTCTTTTGGTTTCCATTTGCATGGAATATCTTTTTCCATCCCCTCCCTTAGGTCTGAAGTGGGTCTCTTGTAGACAGCATATATATGGGTCTTGTTTTTGTATCCATTCAGCCAGTCTGTGTCTTTTGATGGGGGCATTTAATCCATTTACATTTAAGGTAATTATCGATATGTATGTTCCTATTCCCATTTTCTTAATTGTTTTGGGTTTGTTATTATAGGTCTTTTCCTTCTCTTGTGTTTCTTGCCTAGAGAAGATCCTTTAGCATTTGTTGTAAAGCTGGTTTGGTGGTGCTGAACTGTCTCAGCTTTTGCTTTTCTGTAAAGGTTTTAATTTCTCCATCAAATCTGAA